CCAACGACAACAAAGTTGCCAACAATCTTGACGACCAAGTGGTCAGACATCAGGTCAAGTACTTGGGTCTCATCGAGAATTTAAGGGTCAGGAGAGCCGGCTTCGCGTACCGGCGCCCGTACGAGGCGTTCCTTCATCGCTATAAGAGCCTATGCCCGCAGACTTGGCCCCACTTTAACGGAAGCGCCAAAGAAGGCGTTCAGGTATTAGTGAATTACTTGGGCTTCGAATCGGATGACTACCGGATGGGAGAAACAAAACTATTCATACGATTGCCACGAACTCTATTCGATACGGAGGACGCATTCCAGCAGAAGAAACACGATTTGGCGGCAATTATTCAATGTCGGGTCAAAGGGAGACAACAGAGAAAGAGGTACTTAGAGATGAGAAGCGCCGTTACCCTCATTGCTAGCTATTGGCGCCGATTCCTCGCCATTAAACTGTTGGCCAAACGACGAGTGGCCGCCCATATGATCCGGACATTCATTAAGGGGTTTATCACTCGTAATGAACCCGAAAATGATTGCAACCGAGCGGTAATTTTTCAGATTATTTGCTGTTATAATAACGTCTCTATTAATAACTCTTGAATTTGATAATTAGTTTGTGAAGAATGTAAGGGCGGAATGGCTCAAAAGACTGGCCAAACAATTGCCAAAAAATGTTCTGGATAAATCGTGGCTCATATCACCGAAATGTTGCCAAGAAGTGAGTGCTTTTATCGAAATATTTTCAATTCGTTGTCTTAATTGCAAAAATGTTTTCGCAAAAGGCGTCGGAATTACTAAAACCAGTGCACCAGAGATGCCTCGTCAGGAAATACGTGCGAAGTATTAATCCCGAGAGGAAGCGACTGATGGACGAGAAAGTTGTGGCGGAAAAGCTGTTCCGCAATAAGAAAGCCAGTTATGGCGCGAGTCTTCCCAATATGTTTAAAGAGAATCGACTGAGTATTTGACAAAATCATAGAAATACACATAAGTTATACAATTATAAGTGGTTTTAATGTGTGTTTATTCATAGATAATGAATTGGAAACACTTCGCAGGAGTATATTCGAGACTAAGTTTAAAAGAGGTGATGAAAAGACTATTTATTGCCTACAAGTTGTCAAATATGATCGACACGGATATAAACAGAGACCCAGAATATTATTGCTGACAAATAGTGCCATTTATTTGCTCAATGAGAAAGACATGAAACCCAAACACCGGTTGCCTTATAAGAGCATCAGTGAAGTGACGACCAGTGCTCTAAGCGATGGACTTCTTGTTATCAAAATCCCTTCGGATCTAAAACAAGACAAAGTATGCCATCGTTTACATCAGAATTGATTTAAAACTAATTGTTTATTGAATTACAATTTTAGGGCGATTTGATTCTGGACTGTAAGGCGCACCTGATTGAAGTGGTCACCAAAATCATGATAATGATTAAAGACAACGACTACGATAAGCTTAATATTGTGGGCACCGGAAGGTATTGCAATGTTTAGCTAATAAACAATTCTTATTAATAATCTGTTTTTAATTTCTATTAAAGTATAAGCCATGCGTGTATCGATGGGAAAGTGGGTCAAATATCGTTCACCCAGGGACATTTTAATGGTATACTCAAGCGAAAGGATGGCATATTAGAAGTGGTCAGTAGTATTGCATTCATTATGAATCCAATTATAAATATAATCCATAACTCTATATATTGTTAAATCCAATCGAAAACAGACATCGGTTTCCGCGTAAGAGAGAAGCGTTGAGAAGTATTTCTAGTCTGAAGAGTATATGGAGAAGAAAAGATTGGCCACACATTTGTGCCAAACAATTGCCACTAATTTCTTATTTTAATTACAAAGACTGAGTTTATTTTATTTTTTAAATATTGCATTCCATAGTAATTGATCACTTCAAAGAATTTCATGAGTTTTAATAAAGATTTGAATATAGAGAATACAGAGAATAAAATATTTGTTTATTACAAGAATTACTGTATTATATATTGAATAAAGTGCTTATTTCTTATGGGAGTCGGTGTGGAAAGGCGTGTAATCTAGAAAATTAATACAATCAACAATATATGAGATAAACTGATTAAAAAAAGTGATGATTCAGTGAATTAACTATTCTTTAGGACTCGTAATAATAAAAAGTTTGCGAAAATAGTCGCATAAAGTCGCTTATATCGCAAATCAATGAATGTATGCTTTTTTGAGTCAAACTTATGACAAGTTTTGTATTGTTTTGTTGCATTCAATGCATAACACAAGTGATGCACAAAATGTGTTTTAATTGATTTGCACTTTAAATGCTTAAATAGATTTGATTTGCTTTTAAATTACTATAACAAATTGTGCATGGTCATTAGATTGTGGCCCACAAACACGCTATAAACCGTCGAAAGGCAATTGAAGTCATAAATGAAATCAACTGATCGTCGCTTTGATTACGAAAATTGTTTTCATTTCAACAGAAATTAAAATTGATTTCAAAAACAATTTGAAATATATTTGTAAATAACAGTGAATTCATTGATTGATTAAAAGTGTGAAAATGACGGCACATATGATGTCATCGTTTTGTAAGCATTTAATGAATACTAAGTTGAAATCATGTCACTCATCGCATCCATTGTCACCCAAACACGTGAAGACTATTCACATGATATTCATTATAACTCTTATATTAAATACCATTCATTCAATCGATGCCCGAAAACACCATTTGGTCCTAACTGTAAGACATT